GGACTCCTGGGTAGCCTCACTCATGGCTCTTCTGTGCCCTGATTTCCAGATCTGGGATCAACTCCTGTTGGGCCCTTGCTGGTAGCCTTCCTCCTGGGCCCTAAGATGCTGCTGATGGTGGTTGTGGCTGCTGTCTATGTCCACAGGAAGCAGAAGGCCTGACTGTAAGTGTGGGTGAGAGAGAGCAAGGCCAGCAGGGGGCCAGTGCACCTGCCACATAGCATCAGACCACAGTACTTGAGAGAAGGTGACACACCTGCCTTGGTGCCCTCGGGAGTCTCAGAATGCTCTTAGAGACTCCCAACTGTGAGGAAGTGTGTAGGGACCACAGGTGATGGGCTAGGGTGCTCAAAGGGACCACAACACTCTCCGGGTCCAGGAAGGATGTGGGCAGAGGGGGCTGGATGAGGGGCAGCTGATGGGTGACCTCCCTTGCAGGCCATCTCTCATTACTTGACCTCTGGTGTCCATGGGGCCAAAGCTATGCCTATTGTAGAGTATGATCAGAAGCCCCAGATGGGCTGCTCTGAGGGCTTTTCCCACTCTCACCCTCCAGGTATCTGAGCAGACAGGACTCAGGAAGGGGAGTCAGGACTCAGGAAGAGGAGCTTGGACTGGGAGTGCAGATGAGTAGGCAGAGACCCATCTCAGGGACATGCATCCCAGGAGGAGACCAGCACTGGGGACATAACAGGCTCTCAGGAACAATGAGCAGAGAGATGATTAAATGTGGATATGTTTCTCTTCAGTGCCTTCCTTCCTCCTCTGTCACATGGCACCCTCAGTCTCTGCTGCCTCCTTCCTTCCTTAAGGGGCTCAGCCTGACAGAAGAAGCCAGAGAGAATCTTCCACAGACTTGGCTCCAAATGCCTCAGGCTCCTGTGTCAGCACAGTCCATCCTTGATGCCCCAGGGCCAGGTCTTCTTTGGTGGTCCTGAACAGGGGCCATGGGATCAGGCTGGGGGACTGACTCAGGACACCTCTGTAGAATTGGAGAATCAAGACGAACCTAAGTGCCTGAGGACACCCTCACCCATCACCTTGTGACTGGCCCTAGACCAGACTTCAGGCCATGCTCTGCAGAGTTTTCCTGTCTCTGGACCCCAGCCTCCTCCAACCCCCCAGCTGTACTGAGCTTTTCCCGTGTCTCCTGAGTACTGTATGTGGAAACTTCCATCCCACCTTGAGACGAAAAATTATTCTCCTTTCCCGTTACCTAACTGTCCTCCTCCTCAAACCAAGGAAGAAGGTTTCCCTCCTGTCCCTGTGATGGGAGCAGAAGTTCGTCACCCTGTGTCCTTCCAGTCTTCTGGCCCATGGTAGCAACGCTGTGACAGTCTAAAAGCCTTGGAGTCCTTTTTGATTTGTTCTTTACATCCCATATTGAGTTCTGTCTTGAAAGTGCACATGTCCCTGGTGAAATGGTAAATGTTGAACACTTGATTTTGAAAGAGGAAAAAAAAAGCCTGATTTGTGATCCTCCTCAATTTCTGAGGTATAAATACTCCCAATGTGGTCAGGTTCAAGATTTAACAACCAGATTGCAAAACTAAAACTTTACAATGGCCCTCAGAAGCCAGGCTTAGCCTGTTCCATCACTGCTCTGTGTCACATCCATAACCTGTACACTTTCTACCCACCTCTCCACCCTGTCCCAGCCAGCATCACCTCTCCCTGGACCATTACTGCAGCTTCTACCTGGATTCTCTGCGTCAACCACAGCAATTCTTCAAACTCCTCTGCTATTCTCCAACATATCTGCTTGGCTCCCTCCCTCCCTTCTTCCAAGTCTCTGCTCAATGTCACTTCATTAAAGACGTGTTTTGCACACCACCTTATATGAAGTATTAATCCCCGCCTCTCACCCTGACATACCAATTCCTCTTGACCTGATTTCTTTCTTATCAGTTATTGTCATCTGTACTATAATGAATACACATAGTCCTTGCTTTGCATGGCAGCTCAGGATTGTAAAAGGACTGTGGAGATGGGCCAGCTAGCTCATTTTTGTGGTGCCAGATCCTCAGGAAGCTGAGGTGGGAAGATCACTTAAGCTTAGCTGTTCAAGGCCAGCCTGGACAACAAAGCAAGACCCCGTCTCTGAAAAAAAATAACTGTGTAAGCTGAAACCCTTGAAAATAATCTCTATAACCAATGGGGAAAATGATGATTATTCTGGGGACTTTTATAATGTGTTAACAAAATATTAGAGATTCTCTCTCATACTGTCAGTTAAAACATATAGGGCAGTGAAGAATAAAATCATATGAATATTTAGTACATTATAATTTGAAACATTAGAAACATTGAGAGTTAAAGTGTTTTATTTCTTTATACAAACATGTCAAGAGTAATTGGAACAGTACTTGCCTTCTTGATGATGGCACATCTAAATTCTGTCAAAATTTTTAAAGAGGTTTATTCTGAGCCAATAAGACTTTGAAAGAAGTGACATTATTGGTTACTGATCACGACAAGCTTTGGTTACTCACATAGTGATTTCTGGACCAAGGAGCTGGCACTGAAGGTTGTACTTTACACGAATTACTGAAACAAATTCACTTTGGTAAGGAAAATTTGAACCTTGCACTGGAGGACTAATGTTACTTAAATAAACTATGTTAACTGAAATTCATTAATATCAGCACCAAAATGAGAACCTCCCACATTTGTCTATCTGTCTTCCTCAAACAGAATGCCAGTGTAACAGGTAAGTGGCTGTGTGTATCCTCAGTTTACAAAACAGTGGTTGCCATGTAAAAAGCCATAGAATATTTTAATAAAGAAATAACTATGTCATTGAGGCCCTTGGTTTTTACTAGATGTTGGACTTCAGAATAAAACTGGTCTCAGTGATAATCTCTTGTATCTCTGTGACAACTGTTGTCATTTCCCCTTTTTCACTTCTGGTTGAGGTTATCCGAGATTTTACTTTTCTGTTTCTAGTATGTCTGCCAATGGTTTGTTGATTTAGTTTATTTTTTCAAAGAACCAGCTCTTTGTTTCATTACTTTTCTGAATGATTCTTTTGTTTGCAATTTCGCTAATTTCTGACTTCATTTTGGTTATTTCTTTTCTTCTGCTAGGTGTGGGATTATTCTTCCTTTTCCATTTCCTTAAGATGATTCATTAGTTTGTTGCTGTACTCTCTTTCTGTTTTTGAATGTACATATCTAATGTGATAAATTTCCCTATTAAGACTACTTTTGCAGTATCCCACAACTTTAGGGAACTTTTAGCTTCATTGTTGTTATGTTTCCGGAATTTAACAATTTTCTCCTTCATCTCTTCCTTCAACCAATTATCATTGAGCATAAGATTGTTTAATTGCTATGCTTTTGAATGAGGATGGCAATTTTTGTTAGGGTTGAGTTCTACCTTATTGCTGTATGGCCTGAGAAAATACAATGTATAAATTCACTTCTTTTAATTGTGTTGAAGTTTCATTTGTATCCTAAGATATGATCTATTTTAGAATATCTTCCATGGGCTGATGAGAAGAACATATATTCCTTAGCTTTTGGATGATGCGTTCTGTATATATTCCATGTATATTTACTGAGTTTCTGTTTAGAGGATCTATCCAGTGCTTTCAGAGCAGTATTAAAGTTCTTAACTAGTATGATGTTATGGGATATCATACAGCTCAGACCTTGATTGGTCTATTTCATAAATCTGGGAGCATTTAAGATGGGTGTATAAATACTTACATTTGAAATGTCTTCTTGGTGTATTATTCTGTTGATCAGTATGAAGTGACCATCTTTGTCTGTCTTACTTTAGTTATTTAAAATCCACTTGTATCTGAAAATAAGATTGGAACCCCTTCTTTCTTCTGATCTCCATTTGCCTGAAAAGTCGTTTTTCATTCCTTAACCCTGAGTCTTTTTGTGTCCATTGAGACTAAGTGTGTTTCCTGGAGACAGCATATGAGTGGTTCGTGCTTGTTTATCCAATCAGCTAGCCTGTGCCTCTTTGGTGGGGGGAATTCAAGCCATTAACATTTATTGAGAGAATTGAGAAGTATGATGGAGTTCATTCAACTTTTTGTGTGAAGGTCTGTTGCTTACTTTTATCCTTTGCGCCATTGTAGAAACTATGTTTGTGCATTAATTTCTGGGTGTTTATTTTTCTGTTGGTCTGTTGTGATGGTGAGTGTAGCAAATAGGTCTAAGTATTTCCCATAAAACTGGTCTTGATGTGGTGAATTTCCTCAATGTTTGCATATCAGGGAAAGATTTGATTTCTCCCTCAATTTTGAAGCTTAGTAGGATACAGAATTCTGGGCTGAAAATTGTTTTTTTTAAGAAGGTTAAAAGTAGATGACCATTTTCATCTGGCTTGTAAACTTTCAGTTGAGAAATCTGCTGTCACTCTGATAGATCTGCTCCTGTAGGGCATTTGATGCTTATTCCAGGATGCTTGCAGGATTTCCTTTTTTGTCTTGATGTTGGACAAAGTTACTTACAATGTGTCTTGTAGATACTCTGTGTTGAGATGACCCAGGGTTCAATATCCCTGTGAAAGGAGAGTTTTGGAATCTTTAGTGAAACTTAGGAACTTTTCATTTATGATATTCTCTAGTAGGGTTTCCATTCCTTTGGGTCATGCTTCTTCTTCCTTGGGCATCCCTATTACTTGTATATTTGAACACTTCATGAAGTTCTGAAACTCTCTGAGTGAATGTTTGGCTTTCTCGCTCTTCTTTTCTGCCTCCTTAACTACCTGGGTTAGCTCATGAACATTATCCTCTAGCTCTGAGATTATTTCTTCTCCATTGTCTAATCTGTTTTTGATACTATCTACTGCATCTTTAAGTTGCCTGATTAACTCATTCATTTCCTTTGTTCCAGCATTTCCTTTCTATTTTCTTCATATCTTTCATCCATTTTTTAGTTCTGTTTCTTCCACTTTCTCATCCATTCCCTTATTTCCTTTACCATCTGTATTTAAGTTCCCTTTTTGTCATTTCCATTACTTCTTTCCAGATGGAATCCTCCCCAGTAGCTGTCTAATGGTCTCTTGGGGGATGGAGGGAGTTTGCTCTGGTTTTTCAGAGCACCAGAATTTTTCTGTTGGTTCTTCCTCATATGTATTTTCTTCTTGCTCACTTTCTTCCCCTACTTTATCCTTCTCACTGCCTCCTTTACTTTGAATTGTCTTATCTCACAGCTCAGTTGTTGAAGTTGCCGCTTTGTACAAGGCCAAAAGGAAAAGCAAGATAAAGACTGAGCAGTGAGAAAGAAGAGGAAATCAGAAAGAAAGAGAAGAAAAAGCAAAAGATGGGGGGTTTAAAGTAAAGAATCAGAACAAATGAGAAAAGAAGGACAGCAGGGTAGAAAGAGAACAAATGGAGAAATGGTATTGATTGGCTGAGTGCTATGACCACAACTATAATTTGAGGATTTTGGGGTTCTTGGGTGGGTGGGTCTTTTGAAATTCAGAGCTATTTAGTGATCTGGGCAAAGCAAGTCCCACATTTACCAATTATATGAAGAGAAAGAGAACAAAATAAACTAAAATAAGGAAAAATTCAGCAATATGTTGCAGTGGGGATCTGCCATTACTGACTTTCCAAAGGCTGAAGCTAGAGGGACACCTTAAACCATGAGCTGGTGACCACCTGGAGCTGGACCACTCGAGACATCCCAGACAGACCAATGCTGTTACCCCACCGCAGACCTCAGACAAAGAGCAAAAGAAAAATGGATAATGGGGCGGCACCTGTGGCTCAGTGAGTAGGGCGCCAGCCCCATATATCGAGGGTGGTAGGTT